TATAGTTCCTAGCTATATTGACCAACAAAATAGAACCTTTTCATTTTCTCTTGGTCTTATTCCACAATGTAACTACCGAGGCCTCTCGCTTTAAATAGAAAAATTATCAAAACTCTTCTTTTTTTTGTATTTAATTATTGCAGGAAATGTTAATGGTCAAATCCTATTCAGTGAATTATGCTAAGCTAAGCTAATAAAGATCCCCCCAGAACAAGAAATAGGCTGAATGGATTTAAAAAATGGTTTCTTTAATTCACATATGAACTGAGACATGACTTCATCATCAAAAGAGATGCACGTGACTTTGCCCTTAAGTTTAATTTATTTTCAAAAGATCATGTATGCAATTCATTTTAATACATCATCACTGGAATACAACATCAGTAGAGATGCTTTATTAACCAAAAGTCGTCTGTGAAGCATTATCAGTCAAAAACAGGCCTGTCTGTCTCCTGAAAAGCAGGCATGCTAAAAAAGTTTTTAAGAAGAACTGCTGAGGGATTTAAAAACGTGTATGTAGTAGTGAACCTTACATACTGTTGCTCTAATTTTTGTCATTTATTTTTATTTTTGTTGAATTTAGTTTTTAACGACCACAGAGTCAGGACCTTAGTTTAACGTCTCATCCAAAAGGGCATTAGGACCCACACAGACCGCAGGTTGAGTGCCCCCTGCTGGTCTCACTAACACCACTTTCGGCAGCAACCTAGCTTTCACATGTGGTCTCCCATCCAGATACAGACTGGGCACAGCCCTGCTTAACTTCAATGGGTGACCATGTGAGAGTTGCAGAGAACTACTTGCTGGCTGGTGCTTTAGTTATTAGTGCAGGGACTTTCTACTACTGCCAAAATATTTAAAGACATAGTATTGTTCAGGAAACGATATCAAAGTCAAAATATTGGTGTATGTATTGTATTGAAAACTTTTTAATGATGCCCAGTCTTAACAACTTCTTCAAAATAAAATGCATTATTTTCTGCATCTTCAGCTGTGTTGCTCTTCTGAGGAAGCTCTTCATGACTTCCTGCTGGTGACTAAGTTCACAAGTGAGAGGTCGGAGTTCATGACAGGAGTTTTCTCATCACTCTGTGCTGCAGTTATTATTGATATCAGCCGCCCCCTGCAGAAGGTAAATCCTCTAATTATTCTGTGCATGCTGTGAGCGTTATGCTTGCGTGGCTTTTCTTTGTTGTCTTTTTAATTGAAACATTTGTTGAGCTCATTTTTTCATTTCACTCGGATGTAGTGTTTGACAGTATGACTGATATAAATACAAACTGTTGTGTTCTTGAGATGAAATGACACCGTAGGCAGCGTGGGAGAGCTGTCTAAAGCCACTTATAAAAATAAGCTGAAGGATAAAGGCATAGACTGAAAGCAAAGATGAATGACTAGTGAAAGAAGCAATGTGATCTTTGTACTCGCAGATTTCTCATGTGGAGGAGCTGTTGATGCCAGAGACGGTCAATGACCTTCCACCTCTTTCCAGCACCATACTTAAAGTGACGCTTGGATGTCCTGCTGTTACCAGGTAAAATCAAAACCATCTAGTACTGCCTGATTTCATACCTGACCCATTTCGAAAATTAGTTTTTGGTGCATTTTTGATCTATTTGCCATATATGAACAGTGCAATTCTTAACACTCAGTTCGAGATCCCAGAAAAATAAACATTAATCCGGTTTGTATGTGTTGAGAAACCCTATAATATCATACACTACAGACTAATAATGAGCCAGGCAGTTCATTAGTGTATGATTTGTTCTAATGAAAATTGCAATAAAAGCAGCAGTCTTTGTATTGCTAATGCCTGCAAGAGTGAATCTGGAGCTTAGACAAAGTGAAGAGCCTAATTATAGTTTATAAATGGTTATTTTGTTCTTCTCAAACTAAACTAACTAAAATAATAAAGTTTACACTGACCGTTACAAAGAAAGCAGCAATAGGCCTGTGAAGCTGTTGTCCTACAAAATGAATGATATGTGCAGAATCCTGGAACTTAGACAGATGCACTCTCTGACCAGTGAGAGGACAGTTTGCGTGTGTTTACTTGATGTAGTAAATTCTACACATTCTTCATCAATTTAGGAGTTATGAATATAATATAATGTTATGTATAAAAAGTATATAGGAGTTATGTATGTAATGTTCATAGTACATCCATCTGTAAATATAACTCATTGTTTTTCTATAATTGCACTTTATAACTTATACCTACATACATAGCTGCTCTTCCACATGCTCTACCCACATGCATACCTTTATATCCTGCACTTGATGCTATTACACTCCTGGTTAGAAGGAAACTGCATTTCGTTGCCTTGTAAGTGTACATGTGTAATTGCAGTAAAGTTTAATTTAATCAATCTACAAAGAAATTGTAGGACTTAAACCATTTTAATCCCTGTTTCTAACGTAAGGACATCTACAAATTATGAAAGTGCCATAAGTAGAAATTGTATGAATGCTTCAGATTAATTTTCTGCTATGTTCTAGGTTTTTTCTGTCTGAATTGAGTTCCTCTATAGAGTCGGAGGCCATTGATAGTATCACGCAGTGGGCTGCAGTTACACACATTCTGACCATCATCAAAGAATGTGAGTGGTTTTGGTTTTGGCTTGATTCTGTTTGTATTCCCACTCAGGTTGGTTTTACTTGATGTTAGAATTATTGGAAACATTTCCAGTCACAGTTCATACTATTAACAAACCATTAATTAAGACTTTAGCTCAATAAACTGCTAATTATCTGCTATTGATAGATAGATAGATAGTAAGATAGTATTTGGGATTAGGTTTTTGGTAGGATTAGAGATGTAGAATCAAATCATACATTATAACTACTGGAAAATAGGCAGGTAATAAGCAAGTACTTAAACTAGTTGTACTAAGTTATTTTATATAAACTGTTCTATTTGAAAATGTATTAAAAACAATAAGTCCAGTGGAGTTATGGATAGACACATTTGAACTATAAAGTGACACTGGATTTTTATAGTCTTTTTTTTTTTTGCTGATTGGTATATGACAATATTTGCATAATCCAGTTATTATACATACAACCAAACACCCAAACTCACTGCCAATATTTAGAAATAATGTGTTAGTGTATGTGTTTGTCAGTGTGTTCATATTAGGCCTGTCACAAATTAATATATCGACTTCTCCTGCAGCACTTGGAGATGACTTCAATCATTTTTGCGGTTGCATATAAATTTACAAATTCACAATTACTGTTAAAGCCATTTTACAATGACATTTACATTCTACCTCACTGGTAAGTCAAAATTTATATTTGGACATTTACCTAATAGGACATTTAATAGTGTATATATCAATGTGTCTAGGGGTATAGGAGTTTGTTTCTGTAGCGTATTGAATAGTAATGATTACCTTTCTGCTCTGCTCAATATAGCTGATGCATTTATTGTGGAGTTGAAAGACATTGCCGGGTCTGTACGCAGACAAATACAGAACTACTACAACAGTATTTCGGAAAACTCTGATGATATACAGAGGTAAAAGATTTACATTTATGGTGAACGCATGTAATCTGTGTCTACACACAGTGGCAGATGTACAACATTTCATTTTGTTTTGGTTTTCTTCTCTCAGGACCATCTACGAATCCACTGTCAAAATGCTGAATGACGTCCTGATTTCATGCCAACAAACAAACAATTAAACGGGCAAGCTGATGACAGTAACTTGTGTGTACTCCTGCAAAATCCTTTCTTTGTTTTCTCAGCTTATTAAACTCTTGCATTTTTTATGTTCCCCTTTCTCTCTCATTTGAATGACCTTTAAGCAAAACATCATCTTTGATCTTGAAACATCATTCATTTTCATTTGTGTGGTTTCAAATGTAAAAGTTAAGTTCCAGCATTCCAGATAAGTACATCGATTTTCATTCACAAAAGTACATTTTTTAGAGACACATCACTGAATCTGGTGCGTCTTAAGATGATCTTTTAAGCTTTGTTTTTTCACTAAGGTGTCTTTGAAATACATCCCTACCAATTTATTTTTTCTACTTTACACTTGGATACAACAATAATTAATTGTGATGTGTTGCCAGAGAATATACTTCTTTATTCCATTTTAAACAATAGTAATGTACAGACAAGTTGTTCCTAAATGTACTGGATTTACCCAATTTAAGTATGTACTGTAGAGCATCACAATCAATCATTGTGTGAAATAAAGAAAAAGTATTAAATTCAGACAAATTATCAAACAAGAAACTGTGTGAGTCTGTATCATCTACTACAAGTGTATTGATAACTATTATTATTTTTAAAAATTGAACTGTTAAAAGGGTGGCATGGTGGTTCAGTGGTTAGCATTGTCACCTAATAGCAAGAAGGTCGCTGGTTCGAGCCCGGCATGTTTGCATGTTTACCCCATGTTTGCGTGGGTTTCCTCTGGGTGCTCCGGTTTACTCCACAGTCCAAAGATATGCGCTAAAGATAAATTGAATAAACTGTAGTGTATGTGTATGGGTGTTTCCCTTTACTGGGTTGCAGCTGGAAGGGTTCTGCTGCGTAAAACATATGCTGGATAAGTTGGCGGTTCTTTGTGCTGTGGCGACCCAGTGTAATAAAGAAATTAAGCTGAAGAAAAATTAATGAACTTAAAAATCATCCTATAGTGCCTTAAATTAAATAGTGTTTGATATTAACTGATCTTTATAGTATCTTAACACTTTTATTTTGCCTGATTTAAATTGTATGTGTAGAGGCTGTTTCATATATTCTAGATTACAGTATAACTTTGACGTGCTTGTTGCTCGTGCACTGATTGTCAAGTAAATACTCGTATTTCGGTACGGGGCAAAACCTTTGAGCAAAATAACTGCTCAGACATTTTATCAACCCCCACTGTTCGATAAGATACACATTGCTCGTCTCCTAAAAGTACATAAAAGCGAGCGTGCAGAAGTGTTTCAAATAATTAGCCGCGGAAGCGCGTGTAGCTGGTGACGTCATCAGCCGAGGCGGGGCGCTGACCGTGGTGCTGAACGCGCCTCGCGCCCCTTTAGAGTTGAGTACAGGACACGGGGTACCGGAGCATCAGTCATCTCACTGCCTCTGACCCACTTCTGCTCTAATCACAGCACCCCCGAAACCCGAGAGAGCCGCTATGCTGAATTAACGGGAGCTGAGCTGAGCTGGGCTCGATGAGCAGGATGGCTCGTGTGCGCGCGCTGCTCCTCGCCTCTCTGTCCGTCCACGCGCTCGCCGTTTCCATCGCCGACCGGAGATTCGGTAAGTTAGTTCAGCGTGACGCCCACTGACTGATTCTAGTCGACCTTTTCGTGTAGAAAAAACACAACTAGTGTGTTGTCTTGCACTTTACTTTAGCGTCGTTAATACGGTCAATAAGAGCGGCGGTTTGACGCGCGGAGCCTCGTGTTTGGTTTTTTATGCAAATAAGCGGATCGTTTATGAATGTGTCCAGCTGAACTGTTAACAGAATGATAGCAACAAACGCTGGCACGTTAGTTATGGGATTTAACATCACATTACTGATGTGCTTCTAGGTCACATGCACCTAAATCAACATTGTTGCTCTCCTCATCAACCAATCAGCTTTTAAGGATGCTAGAGATCAACTCAGCATCTCAATTTTACACCAGGAAATAAATAAAAGTGCAAAAACAGTTCATTCATGGTTATGGCAACTTGACCCATAGGGTAAAATAACAAAGTTCAAGTACGCATTGAATATATAAATTTGGCAGTATTTCTGCAAGGCCTTAATTCCCTTTCTACAGTTGAAGTCCGAAAAGTCTAAACTATTACTGATATTTAAACATCCTAAATCAAGAAAAAATTTAGATAAATGAGAAAAAAACATTTCGATTTAACTAACTTCATTTTGATTAATCTCATAGTAAAAACAACTTTTTACATCACATAGTTTAGCTTTATCTGAAAGTAGATGAATGATCTGGAAAATGACAAAAATACTAAGAAAAAACAGTAAGATGTGTTACTTTCCCATTGCAGTGTTCGGAAGCTTTCTTCCTTCTCTGTTCATTTCTCTTGTTTTAATGTTAAATAATTACCACTGATTGGTACACACGTTTATATTAAACATTTACAGCATTGCAAATGCAACTTGTCTGGTCCAATCAAATTTACTTGTAGAGAATGAACTGACATTGTGTTCCGTTCAAAGACTGAAATTGTTACTCCTAAAAACTACAGTGAAAACTAAATTTGCATACATTTCATTCAGAATCCAATCATTCATTCATTTTCTTGCCGGCTTAGTCCCTTTATTAATCCGGGGTCGCCACAGCGGAACGAACCGCCTTCATTCAGAATTTGCTAGTGGATTTAACAAATTATTACAAGGAACTTTGAATTAAATGTGAGCTTTCAGATTTAGTATTTCCTTGTAAAAATCACAGCGCAAATAAAAGTGTATATTAGCATTAGTTAATGATGTGTATTAGGGCTGGAACTACTTTGGTTGTTGCTCCAGCAGCAACAAATATGCTGATCAAGCATGTTGTTTTATATGTAAAAATGTTTTATATGTGTGTGTGCTTTAGGATGTTTACCTCAGAGCTTTGTTTCTGCGAGCATGGAAGAGCATACATATAGGGTTGCTATAGCTGAATGGGAGATAGTTCCAGTGCTCTCCTCTGACAGTGGATTACATAATCCTGTTATGGTTCGTTAAAGCGTCTTGGCAGGCTTCATCTTTCAAAGGCACAGGCCAAGAGCGATAGCAAGAGCAAGAACCAGCCTCAGCTGGGAAGAACCGACCGGAGCTGTAAACAGATACAGCTCTACACGCTCCATGAACCAGTGCATTCAAACATGGAACGCAAGAGAGCTTTGATCATTGAAAATGCGAGCGACTGCTAACTTTATCTTGGACTAGAGTCTTCAAAGCCTTGGGCTAGTTGCCTTTGTTTTCATATACATCGAAATCTTGTTATGAACCAGAGCTGTGGCACAGGGGCTGTTGCATGTGCTCAAGCAGACGCAGGTTTAAATCTGGTCTGCGTCATGTTAGGATTGCATTTTCATTCAGGATTGAATGCTGTCAAACACTTGTGTTTGATCACATCCATGATAAAAGTTTCTTTGTATGCACTGTTTATTTACAGTGCTTAGCATATCTAAGTACACCCCTCACAAATCTCTCTTTTAAATTAATCTTTTGAATATAAAGCTATACAATATCATATTTGTGCGTATACATTAGTTTATACAAGACTAAAGCCAAATCTGGAGCTAATCTAACAAAACAACCTGCTATAACAGCCAAATTTCTATGTTAAAGAGAAATATTAAATACTAAATTAAAAAGAGGAAAATCAGGGGAAGCAAAATAAATAAATAAAAATTAAAATATTTAGTTGAAATTTTGTAGGTTGTAAATTATTTTTGCAATATTTTGCTTGAGTTTAATTGTATTATCTTTCCATTTCTAAATATGTTTGGTGACTAAAGTATTATTTTAATAAATAAATCTGTTTAATAAATCTGTTTTATTTAAAGGCAAAATACATTGCCTATATTCACTGACAAATGAATAAAAGTATTCATTTACAAAATGGGGTGCACTCATGTAATAGTGGAGTGATGATCCTTATGCAGGTCTTTATTGAACAGGATGGTCAAGCAAGCAGTGGTCAAAATAGGAGCAAGCAGATGTTTATGGGCAATCTAGAGTCTAGAGGATAATTAAACAAATCAAAGTAAGGGAAACCGAGCCATAATGTTTACTTCCCAGCTTACAAGAGTCAGCAACATTGTGTGTGTTTGTGCTGTCTTTATAGTCCAAGTAATCAGTCTATGAGCAGCTACAGCTGTGTGAGTGTTTGCAATCAATGGTGACTTGAAGCAGGTGTGTGTGTTGCATGACTGAATATGTAGTCCATAACATGGCGGATTTGTAGTTCATGTGAAAGTGACTGTTTTCCAGCAATCTATGGTGGTTAGATCTCTGATGATCGTGACAACTCTGTTATGCTGAGCACTGTAAATGCATAAATAGACATGTTTGCTGTACGCAAAATACAAAAGTATACAAATATAAACAAATCATTTATACAACATAGTCATGCATAAATTTGTATGTCAGCAATTCCAGCATTATGGATGTGACATTTGCAGTAAAAACTCAAACACAGAGAAAGTATATGTTAACATTATATTGAAACATCTGTTTATATTTTTTATGGGAGCAGAAAAATATCAGTCTGTAAACATTTTTCTAGATTTGAAATGAGGAAAATAATCATGCGTTATGGATGTGACGAAGAGTCTGCTAGTTTACAGTATACAACATACTTTGCAGAAATTCTTTGAGTTAAACTGCACAACCAAAAAGAAACAATGATAATCAAAAGGATAAGAGTCGGCTCATTATAGAACAAACATGATTGATTTGATTTGATTTACATTTTTTATGAGGAAAAAGCTTTGTTATGGATGTGACAGATGTGAAATTGCCACTTGTGTGACTTTGAGAAATCAAATATAGTTGTTTGAAAACATTAACAGAAACATTTTGGAGTATTTTCTAGTACTGCACTGTAAAATACTAGTAGTTTCAGTATGGCAAAGTTTACATTTGCATTGAATTGCTCGTACACAAAATATACACAGTACACTCAAATATATTTTGTAACTATAAACTTTTATTTTGAAATGGAATGAATAATTTGAAAGCACTACTTTTTACTTATGTGTGCTGTATAGTACAACATTACTAAAATATAAAGCCGAAATCTGGCCACACTTCATTTTAGGGTACAATTCTTGCTGTTAATATAGCATCAACTATTACTTTAATTAAAAAAAAAACCTTCTTTTGCTGCTTATTAATAGTTATCAAGGTTATGGTTGGGTGTAGGTACTGTATGAGGGAGAACAAGATGCAGAATATATACAACAGCCATTGTCTTAATAATAGGCAGGTAACTGATACTTAAACTAAAGGGCCAGAAATCTTGTTTTAAACCTATTTACTGGATGTGTATAAAAAAAAATTTAAAAGTTGACACAGTTAGTAAAATGCAAACACATGGAGTACCTGTGTATTATCAGTTCATCTGCTTATTGTGGACGTTTCGAACTGCTTTAATTGGGATATTTTACTTTTATTTGATATTGTTTTCCTTTATAGCTTGCTTCTCTCCTTTTTTGGGGGTTGTTACAGCCATCAAAATATAATGTTAAAATATATGTTTACTAAATACATTTCAGATTTGTTTTAAATATGTTCATTTGACAGCACTTTACTTTAGTGCTGTATAATACAACAATACTGGAAATGTTAAGCAGAACACATTATTTTAAGGTATAATTTGAGCTACGAATGAACCATCAACTTTGATTTCAGTTAAATAAATATCTTATTTGCTGATTGTAAATAGTTATCAAGGTAGGGGTTGGCTTTAGGTATTAGGGAGCTATGTAGAAAAAGATGCAGTATATATACTAATAGTACATTAATACTAATAGTAGTATTAATAAACAGCCAGTGTCTTAATAATAGGCAGGTAACTGGTACTTAATCTAGTGTTTTCAGAAATCTTGTTATACACTTATTTACTGGATCAAATGCGTTGTGTATAAAAATGTATTAGTGGGCACATTTTGTAAAATGCGAGAACATGGAGTGTTATCAGTTCATCTGCTTAATGTGGATGTTTCAAATTGGTTTAATTGGCATGTTTTACATGTATTTGATCTTTTCACTTTAAGTTTCCTTCTCTCCTTTTTTCGGGGTGCTATATATATATTTTTGTACTTTTGTATATGAAACAAAAATGATAGAAAACGAACCGATCACATCTTGATTTTGTGACATTTCACAAACTGTCCCAACCTTTTCAGGGCTGGACTTGTACAGTAAGATGATTTTAAATATTCTGTTAGGAATGATTTACATTAGTGTTGATATACCCCTGAGGGTTAAGTTAGTTGTTTACAAGCTGTGTTGCTGCTTCTGAAGTTTTTATAGCATGCACAAAGTGTTGCTGAATGATTTGCAAGACCTCAGCTGTGTTTGCTCAGGATGATTGTTAACTTGTTGTTGGAGAACAAATCATCATTTGAGATGGGCAGGCAGGCAGTCTCTGTGGCTGGCATATGAGCTTGGCAGAGGCTGACATGAGCGAGATCTCTGAAACCCTGATGAATAGGCCAGTTAAGCATCTTCAAACAGTCTGTTGGACGATTATATTTCACGACACCTTCAGACTGATTCTGTCTTTCTTTTTCTTAAGTATTTTTTT